ACATCAGGAAAAAAAATTGAAAAAGGACACGCAAAGCAAACAAGAATCACTTACGGTCAAAATTCCATTCTTCGGGGAACGACATCTTCTCTTTCGGAATAAGATCACTGGTCCTCACTCGAATATAACGACCCATCCAACCTCGATCCTTGTCTTCATCGATGCTCGACATTAAAGCCTTTGATGCCCGACGATGAAGTCTGATTAGTCCTCAGAAAATCTTAGGCCGGTACAATCGTATGAGGTGGTTCAGAGAAAAATCCAACCCCCCAGCTTTGGTAGAGAAGAAGCGCAGTAAGATCACTATACGCCATAAAGAGGGATGAATTTGACCGAGGGTGACCTGATATCTTTTACAGAAGTCAATAATCACCGAGTCGACGGGTCCCAATGTGAAGGGATAAGTGTAAACACTTAAAAACCCCTCTATATGAGTGGTGACGTTCTCTTTGGGAGATGGGATCTGCAATACAACCTCGGGACCCAGTTGCAGTCTTTTCTGACGTCCTCGAGATGACCCTCCGTTATAGAGCACATGTACATCGACACGTGCTCGCATCGACCCGGAACAGATGAAGGATTCTCAACCTTAAAGTTAATCTTTAGAGTGCACGGGCCAAGAACATAGTCATGAACGGACGGCTCCGTCGGCGCCTTATCATTGGACGGCCGCGAGGAAGAAGCTTTCTCCTTCTGAGGTACGATTTTTGAAGTTTTTACCATTGGTACGAGAGGAAAGAACGCAAAGGAAAGCGAAAATTTGACAACACCAAAACTCTGGTGTGGGCGGCTCTGAAGCAACGAAATGGAGAGGATAAACAAGAGAATTTGGAAGAAGAGAAGGCGCCAAAGTGGTAAAGGTTATATGGAAAGGCTATTTATAGACTAAGGCTTGACGGTTCAGTATCAGCGGTGGCCGACCACCGTCTGAGACGTATTAAATGCCTCGGTAAAATCGAGCCGATGGGACAGCTATCACATACGTCATGGTCGGTATCAATAAAAACGACATCATAAATTTGATCGAGCCGTAGGAAAATTATATCGTTTCTCACCACATCCTTTTCCGAGAAACGAGGGGACTATCTGTGTACGGTCAAAACTGATCCTCAGTCATAAAGACCGGTCGAGACGACGACGTTTCGATCAAAGGATATCTACATGATGAGCTCGGTCGAATTTCAAAGTAGGGACGTCGAGCTTCGAGCCAATAGACCGATCAACGACAAGACTCGGTATCATTATCGAGCCCATATCCAAATCGAACTACGAGACAATTTGTAGTTCATCGAAGATGCCTAGACCGACCAACACATGCCCCGAATATCGATGCCCCAAGGAAGAATCGAGCTCAAACCAAGACCGGGGGCTCGATCTAATACCGAGCTCGAGCCAGTATCAAGCTCGGAAACAGGAGCCGTCACAACCGCACCAAGGAAGAGAATCTTGGCGAGAACCGAGGAAGAGACAAATCATCATGGGTTCTCCACTATATGCATTATTTTATTATGTTGTTATAGATAAAGCAATGATTCTCTATTATAAAAGGGAGCATCCTTGTAAGCTAAACGAACACACTGCAATAAACACATCCTTTTCTCACATACATTGAGATTTCTTTGTGCTTGTTTCGTCTCAACTTATTCAATTTCCTTGTTCATCATCCCCATTTTCATAGTGAAAATATTAGTATTGTTATTTTTGTATCAAAAAAATTTACGTATCCTTAGAACCATACTTAAATTTAACGTTATCCGATTTTTCGGGTAAACACAGTCTGAAATTATGATTGAAGAGTTAAAGCGTCAGGATGAAGTCGAGGTTGCTACACTACCTCGGCATTGGTTTTAATTTGGTAACCTCACAGCGACGATTGAGAATATTCCTCCTGGAGCAATCGAGACAGAGGACGAAGCAGCAGAGATTATCGCAAAAGCAACGTCTAATTGTTGTGGAAAATTATGTGGTATATGTTGCTGTTGTGGTTGCTGTATTAGGACATGTTCAAAGATGAATCATCAGTGTGCAATTGCACTCTCACAATTGCTAGGTGCATTGGGATGTTTAGGTTGCTTTGCTTGTTTTGCAAATTTTGCTGCTGTGGAAGTGATAAGTGAGAAGAATTTACAAACCTTAACTTTACCACAAGATTTTGTTGTATGTTGTGTCAAATATGACAGATTATACAATTAGATGATAATGAACATTTTTCATGGGTTTTTTCTCCCCATATTTTTGTATCAATTGTATTACAATATATGTCAATAGGTACATATTTATTCTACTAAGCAAGTGTCAAGAATGTTGTCAATTGCTACCAACTTATTGTAAATAGGATATTTGTAATCGGGGAGAAGAAATACCAAGTCAAGACGGATTATAGCTTTTGACTGATTTTGGCTGCTCATGACATATTCATGCGTTTTTACTCAAACGTTACAAATGATATGCATGTGCATGAATCTTGTATATCGTTCTCTTTGTTACACGTTCCCTTTTTTTATGTGAAATATTGATCGTCATTTTTCTACTTCAAGCTTTGAGTCCAAAGGCTACCACCATAAAAAAGTACTTAGATTTTTTTTAAAAAAAATTTGGAAAGGGATTACAAGACGGGAAATTGAATTCAAGATTTTTCACTGAATATTTGAAACTTTCTTGTTTTGGACCAATAATTTTCGAGGATCTTAATCATGTTCATTCTGGTGTTGCAGTCATTGTACTAAAAATATGATTAGACATGTTCAATAGGTACAATTTCTAGACAATCAATCCGTGAAGCTACGAATTTCGTTAAGGATGTTCCAAATTAATATATGTATAAAAAGTACAATTTATTCGATATATATAAGTATAATTTTTCGGCGAATGATGTTCAAGTGGTCATATGAGTCATCACCGCACTTCAAACGCTGAATTCATCAATCATTATCCATATATCTGTAAATTCAAATTCTTTCTAAAAATTTCTCAGTTGGGCAAAATTCAAGAAATGCACTAGAATTTTTTATATTAATGGACAAAGCATTTGGGACATATAGATTCTTTGATATCTCGATATGTTCTAGCACAATTTTTCTTTCTTTCTTTCTTTCTTTTATTTTTTAAATTGTACATAGGAGAAGGTGAAACAGGAGAAGAAATTATAATGCGTGGAATCAAACATTTACTAACAATATAAAAGCTTAGGTAGTAAACCAATTTGACTACTAAGATTTTCCGTTCTAGCACAACCTAATGCACAGTCTGCTAGCTCAATATACAAGACATTTAGATATAGTTAAAGCTGAAGGAAAGTTAATCTATCATACAATAATGGAGAATCAAATTATCGACAATCGAAAGAGTTGTGGGACAGACGAAGCGTCACATTATTTTGTGATGTCCTTTTTATCAACTTAATCATAATCATTAAAGCAATGAATCGTTGATTAAATTAAAGATAACTTAGATTTTAAAAGCATAAACAGACAATCATTTCAAAAGCTTAAGGGATTAAAGCAACAGATGTCATATCAGAAGAAGCGTTGGAAGCAAAAGAACCTTTTCTCAATCAATCATTCACAATATATACTTGTAGTAAATCATATTAATGCATGGCTTCAAGCAACCATTTTCCTTTTTGTTTTCTCACACTAGACGACGGGATTAATATCCGCTTTGGAGTTTGATTAATCCGGATTCATGTCGAAAAGTCTCACTTTAAGTTGAGGATAAAGCGCTCCCAACAAAAAATTACTTCATTCTTAGAGCTTGAAAAATTTTCCAACAGATAAAGTCTAGCTCTATTAAATTGCATGATTATATTAAGCAAAGGATAGTGCTTTTTTCGAATAATATTCATTATTGAATACAAATTAAAATCAGCTGTGATGCAAGTAATACATGTAAAGTTGCTATTTGGTGAGCATATTCGATTATGATAATCAAAGAAAATGTTAACGTATAGGACTTGAACATTCCACATAATTATGATCATCTTTGATAATAATTTTTCATCGGACAATATCAAAGGAATTAGCTATAGATCATAGTTCACCATCATAAATCATGCATATACGTGCAGTTTCAGCCCAACCTATCAGCAAAGTGAAGCAAGTTAGACAGGAAAATTAAGTTAAGCTTGACTTTTAAATTATAAAATTTTGTCTAAGAAATAACTTTTAATAAAAAATTACTTTTAAGATTAGTTATTTATTTTTATGTATATTTAAGTTTTAAGAGTTATTTATTTAATAAAATTAGATTGAAAAAGAGTCAAATAGGCCATACATGCGGCGGTCTCAGTTTAATTTTGGAAAATAAAATGTGCAGACAACTTTGAACCCGTGAATAACATATCACTGTGAAGTGTGAATGTTCTGGATCACTAGATTGTCTCACTCAATTATGTTAAGGGTATTCAAATTAAAATATAATGTATAGTCATATAAAATAGTATTTAACTTATATACCCAGTATAATTTTTGAGAAAAAAAAAAGATGGTTTTGGCCACCCTCGGTATAGTGTGGCTACACCACTGGCTTGCAATTATTGGAAGAAGAAAGTCTACTAAACTAAACTGACTAAAATCTATGTCTTGATTTTACTTTGTCTATAAGTAAAGCGTCATGATTTGTGCAGTGATAGTGTATAGCCTTTTTACAACCTCAGTTATAATTAACCTACAATAATAAATAATTCCTCATCTCAAGCACGGTGTGGTTAACTTATTAAAAATTATTTACTCGGTTAATATATATATCTTAAATTCATAAGTAAAATACTAGTGCTCTATGTAATGTAGCATCCTACAAGGATTTAGTGTTAGGAAAATGTCAAGGAGAGAATCATGGAAAATTGGGAATGAGGAGAAAAAGATGGTCTCCCTTTTTCTGCAAAGCCACCGTCCAAAAAGGTTCACCAAACACTTACACCACTTAAAAAAAAAAAACAACTAAATCTTATCTTAAAGTAAATGGCTTTTTTCTCTAATAAATATACAGTATACATAGTTTATAATAATGTCATTTCCAGGTACTCCAGAATCCTCATCTTACTTACTTTCCTGATGCCACTTTTGTGCATCTTATAGATCTCTCTTCTTTACATATTAATCGCTATGGCATGAACTAATTTTTTCGCTTTGAACTGCAATAAAAATAAACAGCGCTAACGAGCAAGATAACGGTGAATTTGAATGGTTTCTGAGTTGGAAGTGAAGAAGATTCCTTTAGACAATTAAGCATGCCTTGGTCAGACGCAGATCACACCTTATTTTCTTCAAGCCTTGCAAGCTATCTTGATAGTATGAAACCTTTTTCATTCTCCCCTTATCCTTCTCTGTAGTTTATCATATATGTGTCTGTTAATAGTGTTCGATTATCGTTGAATTGTAACATAAGTTCAAGGAGGCATATTATTGTATCGAGTTTAACTTTTATATATTGTTACTATCAGATAATGATCTAAAAGATAAGTAACTTATACAAGTAATCATCCATATACAAAAAAAAGTGAAATTAGTACCCAAAAAATAAGACAGTTACATGTTATATGATGTTAAACTGTATGATAGTGTAAATACATTTTATATGTCGCAAGTGTATATAATTTAAATGATATTGCATTATAGGTTGTGATGCATATATACTGGCTTTTCATGGTTTTTATACAAGTGAATCGCCGTTTTGATAGGAAAAATTCTAATATTACTGCGAGATGGCAGAAAAATCTTGGGGACTTTTCGTTCTTTCGACCAATATGGTAAAGTTTATGTTTTATTGAGATTAACTATTTCTTGCTATGTATTTCTATTGTATTCTTTATGGCTCGTCCACTAAGTTTTTTGACAGTTTGTCCTTTTAATGTTTAGCAAATATAGTATTGGAAGGTACCTCTGAACGAGTAATGGTTGGAAATCTCTATTGCGACATACCTTTGGGTCTCTATGTTATTCGTAGGGAGAATGTAGTGCTGATCGGAGAACGGGTAATAGTTAATACACTGACAGTGTCAAGAATTTTTATCGACTCATCACGTACAAAAATAATATCATATACTAACATATATGATTTGGTAATTTGCAAGTTATGTATTGTCTTTTTATACTGTCGATGTATATAATTAGTGTACTTGTGTCTTGAGGCGGAGTAGTCGATCGCTTCATCAGCTTCTTATGTCTGTATATCGAGTACCATAACAAAGGCAGATTAACACAACGAGTTCAATCGTACCTACTAGTTTTTGACTTGATATATATGGATTTTAAAGAAAAAACTTACATCTATATTAAATCTGCTCTAATTGTTAGAAAGAAGTAGTGAGTGGCAGTGATACTCATGCATTACAACAACAATAACATATCCAGTATATTCTTATAGGTGGGGTCTGGAGTTGTATTGTGTACCTTATTCCTACCTTGTGAAGGTAGAGAGGTTGTTTCCGACCGACCCTCGGCCAGGGGCGGCCTGACCCTGAAGCAAGTGAAGCACTTGCTTTAGGCCCCAAAAATTTAAGGGCCCCAAAATTACTATTTCTCTATATATAGTAGTATATTATTTATATAATTATCTCTTATTATTGATAAATTTATTTCTTTATTGTCATATTAATTTTTAATAACTCGATTTATTCCTCTAATTAATATAACTAAAATAGTTATCTATCAATCTTATTTTACTTTTTTACTTAATTATATTTCTCTATTCATTAGTTGGTCACGTAACTATATCTAATAATCTAACTTATTATTTATTTTTCTTACATAAATTATACTCTCTCCGTCCCAATTTATATGAAAGTATTTGATTAGACATGGAGTTTATGAAATAAAGGAAGGCTTTTGAAACTTGTAATCTTAAATAAATCATAGAAATTTGTGAGCTGGAAATCATCTCATTAATGGTAAAAAGAAAAATCTAAAGTTGAATTGTTACCAAATATAGAAAGGGACTTACTAAAAAAAAGGAGTCACTTAAATTGGGACGGAGGAAGTATATTTTCTGGGTTCTCCCATTTCGATTGTGATGCAATCAACGTTAAATTTATTTAATTTTTTGTACTTTATAAAACTAAGTTCTCATATTTTTTAATTCAACATCCTCACTTGTCTAATTTTTTAAAAAACGATGTTCATTAAATTTTATATATATATATATATATATATATATTAAGATCTGCTTTACTTTAGGCCTCGGATGATGTTGGGCCGCCCCAGCCCTCGGTTCAAGTGACAATCATGCATTCATTTTAAATTGTCTCATATATGTTTTTAAGTCTTGTTAATGGTTAGTAGTGATGGTGTAGGAGTCTGCCGAGGAGGAGCTTTCGCCACACATGACTTGTGTGTCTGCTGCAGAAATCAAAAGGGTATGACCTCTCAACACATAGATTAACTATATATAACAAGCAGCATGCATGTATTTTTCTTGCCTAGTTGCCTAATCCGGTGATTTTTATGTGTTGATCCTTTATTTTATTTTATGTGACGATGTTTGACTAGATACAAAGTTTAAGAAAGAAAAAATTTTGATCATAAATACAACAACAACAACAACAACAAACCCAGTGCAATCCCACACGTGAGGTCTGGGGATGGTAATGTGTACGCAAACCTTTACCCTATCTTATGAAGGAAGAGAGGTTGTTTCCGATAGACCCTCGGCTCAAGAACAGTGAAAAGCATACAATAAACAAACAGTGACAATGGTAAGGAAATAAGATAACAGAAACAAATAGGAGAAGTGCGAAAACTACTGACGATAATGCCACATGGTCTAACAACAAGGAACTCGGAATAGGAAAACACAAGACTAGTACTAATACTATACTAGTACGACCAGAAGAGACTCTCGACTACCTGTCAACCCTAATCCTCGACCTCCACATCTCCCTATCGAGGGTCATGTCCTCGGTAAGCTGAAGTAGTGTCATGTCTTGCCTAATCACCTCCCCCTAGTACTTCCTAGGCTTCCCTATGCCTCTCCTCTGGCCCGCCATGGTCAACCTCTCACATCTCCTCACCGGGGCATCGGTGTCTCTCCTCTTCACATGCCCGAACCATCTCAACTTCGATTCCCGCAACTTGTTTTCCACATGGGTCACACCCACATTGTCCCTAATAATTTCATTCCTAATCCGATCTTTCCTGATATGCCCACACATCCATCTCAACATCCTCATCCCTGCTACTTCATCTTCTGGACATGAGAATTTATGGCCATAAGAGTAATATGCCATTAAAATAGAATATATAAACCGAAAAATTTAAGTTAAATTATTTATAATAGAGGGTTTATTCATTCTGAAATAGATTCAAAATGGAAAAGAGTGCAAAATAAAATAGAATATATAAACGGAATATTTCTTTATACAGCTAGTTGAGTAGTAGCCGGCTCCTCTTATGAACTTAGTTTCATAGCATTTTGTAGTCTTTACCTTCTGTTAAAATTTTATATTTTTGTCATGTTCAGGCTCAAAAGGCAGAGAAGGATGCAGCAGAACTTAAGGGTTCTATGAGAAAGAGAATGGAGTTTCTTGACTTTGACTAGTGTGTATTATTAATGGTTGTTTCCCTCTCTTTTTGGCCTTTGATGAAGATGGACATTATATTGGCGTTGTTAGAGTACAGAGAATAATAAGGGAATTTAATGTGTGTTGAGTGAAAGAATTCTTTATACAGCTCGTGTATATATACAAAAGCAATGGAATCTATTTCTAACTAACTATGACACTTGCCCTTATTTTACTAGCTTCCTAATAACCAACTATGGATAAGTATAAAATAAGCTAAACTATTTACAACTGAAAATTCTATATACAACATCTATATGTTCTAAGCAGGCCCAAGAGAAAGCTGAGCCCAAAGTGTTGAATGCTTTGGACCCAAGTGATCATAAAACGGGTGCAGCCCAATAGATCAAAGATAAAGACCAAAATCTTAGGTGTTCAGACAAAAGCTAAACCCTTCGATATGTCCGATATTTTGGTCTTCTTAGTGTTGTCTTCCTCAATCTTTTCTCCTCTGTGAAACATCATTACCATCTGATAAATTTGAAGACCTAATCCTAACATCCCTCCTCAAGTTGGAGGGAGGTGAAGCAACTCCCAACTTGCCCAAAATCAATCGATGAACAGGGCCCAAAAGGGGTTTGGTGAAGACATCGGCGATCTGTGAAATTGAAGGCACAAATGATAGAGATATAAGCCCAGCGAGGTACTGCTGCCTAACAAAGTGGCAATCAAGATCAATGTGTTTAGTGCGTTCGTGAAACACGGGGTTTTTGGCAATATAGATTGCCGCTTGACTATCGGAATGAAGAGGCACCGGAATAGAGGGGTAAATGGACAGATCGGCGAGTAAACGAAGAAGCCAAGTCAGTTCTGCCACAACTCTACTCATTGAACGGTATTCTGCCTCAGCAGAAGACAAAGACACCAAAGACTACTTCTTTGATTTCCACGATATCGGAGAAGAACCAAGAGTGATGTAATAACCACTGATGGAGCGGTGTGTGTCTGGGAATCTACCCCAATCGGAGTCACAAAAAGCAAGCAAATTGAGGGAAGAGCTAGAGGACAATAGAATGCCCAAACCCGGATCCACGAGAAGATAACGCAGGCAATGTAAAGCAGCACCAAAATAAGGTCGACGAGGAGATTGCATGAACTGGCTGAGGTGTTGGACGGCGAAAGACAAATCTGGCCGTGTGTGAGTTAGGTAATTGAGCTTACCTAAGAGCCTATGATAACTGGTGGGATCAGGCAAAGGCTCCCCTTCATTGATGTGCAGGCGAACACAAGGGTCAAGAGGAGAAGAGGCAGGCTTTTAATCCACTTCAGAGAGGAGATCTAAGGTAAACTTCCGTTGAGTTAAAATTATGCCCTGAGGTTCCCTGATTATCTTTATCCCCAAAAAATACTGAGTCTGCCCCAAGTCCTTGATTTTGAATTCAGTATCAAGAAAATCTTTAATTGAACTAATTTCTTCAGGATCATCACCCGTTAATAAAATATCATCCACATACACAGCTATAACTGTGATTTTGCCTGCCAAATTTTTGAAGAAGAATGAATAGTCATTGAGAGAGTGTGTGAATAGACTTTAAAATTGAGGGTTGCAATGAGCCTGGCATACCACTTCCTAAAGGCTTGCCGCAGTCCATATAGGGATTTTCTGAGTTTGCAAACATGATTGGGAGTGGGAGGAGTAAGGCCAGCAGGAAACCTCATGTAAACTTCCTCCTATAAATCACCATGGAGGAAAGCATTGTTTACATCCAATTGTGAAACAACCCATTGTTCCTTAATGGCTACATCTAGCAAACATCTGATGGTTGTCATTTTAACAACTGGAGAATAGGTCTCAGTTAAATTAATTCATTCCTTTTGTATGTCACCCCTAATAACCAATCGAGCCTTGAACCTTTCAACTGTATAATTTTATTTGTATTTGACCTTATAAACCTACTTGCAAGGAAGAGCCCTCCTATCCTTAGGTAGTTCTACAACTTTCCAAGTTTTGTTGGCTTCCAAAGCTGCAAACTCTTTGTTCATAACTTCCTGCCATGCTGGATGAAGGGAAGCTTGGGAATATGTAGTAGGTTCAGAAATATAGGAGATGGAACTTAAAAGGGACTGATTATCAGGAGATAGAGTAGAGAAAGATAGAACAGTAGGAGAAATAGTGAAAGCAAAACAACTAGGTGTGAGGTCAGTCAAGACTACAGAGTTGCAAATGTAATCACTCAGATAAGAGGGCAAGTGATGGTCCCTGGTGGACCTTCTAAGTACAGGCTGAGGAGTTAGAGGTGTTGGAGAGGGAAACATAGGAGGATTAACCTGAGTAGGAAGAGGTGAAATATAGGTGGAAAGAGGAGATCTGGAGATGTAGGATAGGAGGATATTGATGAAGGTGATGGAGTTCTAGGTTGTGGTAAAGAACAAGAAAGAGGGGAAGGAGAGGAAGAGGAGTGTGTGGAAGGAGTGTGTTCTGGAAAAGAAGAAGACATAGGGGAAGGAAGTGGATTGTGTGGTTGGGACAAAAGGAAAGATAGTTTCATGAAAGATTACCTCTCTAGAAACAAAAACCTTGAGAGTTTGAAGATTGAGTAACGTGTACCCCTTTTTCCCACTAGGATAACCTAAAAAGACACATTTCACTGATCCGGGATCTAATTGGTTCTGTGTACAGGGAGTGTGGAGGCATAACACAAACAACCAAACACCCTTAAATTATTATAGCTAGGTGGCTAACCAAACAATAGTTCATATGGTGTTTTCATTTTGAGTACTTTGGATAGAAATTTATTAATCAGAAAGGTTGTTGTCAACAAGCAATCACCCCAAAACTGAATAGGAAGATTGGATTGGTAGAGTAGTGCCTTGCAAGTTTCAAGTAAGTGTCTGTGTTTCCTCTCAATAACACCATATTATTTAGGAGAGAAAACACAAGTTGTTTGATGTAAAATCCCCTATGAAACAAGAAATTGTGAGGTGGTTTGACTGGATCCTAATTCAAAAGCATTATCTGATCTCATAGACTTGACTTTGATGTTAAACTGTCTTTCAGTCATAGCAAAATTTTGTTTAAGAATTGTGAAATCATTGGTCTTAGAACTGAGAAGAAATACCCATGTTCCTCTACTATAATCATCAACACTGGTGAGGAAGTATTTGTAACCATCATAGGTTTGTGTTTTATAAGGTCCCAAGTGTCAACATGAATGAGGTCAAAAATCCATTTAGTGGTAATTGAACTAGAGGGAAAAGGTAATTTAACTTGTCTGGCTTTAGAACAAATATCACAAGGTTGAATATTAGAAGGAGAAGAAGAATAAGAGATAGATGAAATACATTTCATATTAGAAAAAGGCATGTGTCCCAATCTATTGTGCCATAAGCTTACATCCTTAGAAGTAGTTGCTAAACATAAACTAGAATCAGAAATGGGTGCATAAGCACTTTGATTACAAGCAAAATGGCTAAGAGCCTTGATTAAATTGGAAACTACTACTCTAGGCTTGACTTCACTAGACTTGTCTTGGTTTGAGATAACAGATTTGAACAGGTAGATCCCCTTGCTTACTCTACCAAGCACCACTGGCCTCTTCGGTGAAGGGGCCTGCAAAGTAGCACCAAAAGAGGAGAAAATTAGAAGTGAGTGGAATTGCAAACACAATTTATGAACTGATAATAAATTATTGTTGAAACTGGGGACAAACAGGACATGATGAAGTGTAAAATCAGGTAAAATGGTCACACAACCTGACTGGTAAACCAGGACTCTCAAGCAGAATTAGGTAAAGTAACATAGACTAGTTTTGGAAGCACCTTAATATTGAATAAGAGTTTAAGGTCTGAAGTCATGTGTTCTGAGGTACCGAAATCTAAGATCCAAGAAATAGATTGTAAACACACGTTGATGTAAGTTTTGGCAGAAGGAAAGAAAGGTGATATACCAGCACAATTGGCAGTAGCAGTGTCCTCAACAGACTGCTCACTCTGAGTGCCAACTTTGACATGTTGAAGCAGCTGATAAAGGCTGTGGAATTGATCTTTAGTCATTGGCTGATCCCCTAAACTATTAGTTTTTGAATCTGCAGCATCCAAAGAGAGAGCAGCATTGCTCTTAGCCCCGTTAAACCTTTTAGACTTGGTAAACTTAAAATTTGCATGAAACCCAATTAGCCTATAATAATTCTCAATTGTATGATTTTGCTTCTTGCAATAATTGCAAAATTGACCTCCTTTCTTTGGTGCAGTATTTTCTTTCTTATCAGAGGTGTACCTCTGTCCAGCATAGGGCTGTTGAGTTGCAACAAAAGCACTTTCAGCAGGGTGATGGGAAGCTCTCTTTATTTTTCATCTCTTATGAGCAAAGAGTAGGCATGGTTGACTGATGGTAGTGGTGACAACATAAGCAAATTGTTCCTAGCAGCTGAATAAGCCTCATTCAGTCCTATGAGGAACTGAATTAGCCTCCCATCTTGATATGACTTTAAGTTTTTTAGCTTGCCACCACAAGTACAAGGACAGGTACAGTGTTGAGTAACAGCCAAGCTATCCAGTTCATCCCATAGCATTTTCAGCTTGGTGTAGTAACCGGCTCTATCCAGATTACCTTGTATTGATTCACTCATCTCCTTTTGTAGGTGATAGAGCCAAGGTCCATTACTTTTCCCAAACCTCTATTCTAGTTCATTCCAGATATCTTTGGCTGTTTTAGAGTAGAGAACACTCTCTTCTATCTCTTTAGACAGAGAGTTTAACAACCAGGAAATGATCATGTCATTGCAGCGAGCCCAAGACTTGAAAGTATCATAAGAGATCTTGGGTTGAATGAGGGTTCCATCTATGAAACCAACTTTGTTTTTAGTAGACAAAGCAATCAGAATCCCTCTTCTCCAACCTCCATACCCCTTTCCATTAAACACTGTGTTGACAAGGGGCATACCAGGGGAATCAGAAGGGTGGAGATAAAGAGGGTGAGATGAATCAAGGAGGGCAATCCCAGCTGCAAAAGCAGCAACATTGGTGATCTGTGGGGTGTTAGTTCCTATTGCAGATATAGGACTGTTTTCAACATCGTCTCCCATGAAGAAGATCGAAAGAACAAATAGAGAAGGAAGCAAAAAATAATTGGAGAGAGTGACCGTCCCCTTAGAGCTCTGATACCACGTTAGAGTACAGAGAATACTAAGGGAATTTACTGTGTATTGAGTGA